GGGGGGGGGGGGTAAGAATTAAACCATAAGAATCGTCATTCTGGATCTTTTTCTAGGGCCATCTAAGCAGCCTATATATCTAATATTTGTGCATCCGTCAAACATTTATTGAATATCCACTGTGCGCCAAGCACTGCTCTAGGCACTGGGGACTCAACAGTGAAAAAGGAGGTAAAAGCCTCTGCCCTCAGATTGCTTACGTTCTGGAAAAAGGCAGTTTCTCTTTATTACTACGTGTCCTCTATTCCTTGGCAATAGGCTGCACTCCCGTGGGAGAGAGCTTTGTCTCCTCTGCTGCTCTCGGTCCATGACTGGCTAGGGCTAGCCCACCCTGGCTCCATGCACGGTCATGTGACCCAGAGCTGATCAATCACAGTGAGCGGCTCAGGAGTGAGCGCAAGACCCATCTTGGACCCATGAGGCCACGGGACAAGAGACTCTCTTTCTCCTCCAGGGTTGCTGAACTAGGAGAATGAAAGTTTGGAGCTACTGGGGGCTGCCTTGCCGTCCTGAGGGGAGTAAGAGAAAGAAAGAAAGAGAACGAGATTTCTTCAGAGTGAAGACCACGCAGAGCTAAGCAAGGGAAAAATCCCTGACATCACGGTTGGAGCACCTGGATCCAGCTGTCACTGAACCCAACCTTGGGATTTCAATTAGGCAGTTTATACATCCTCATGTGTGCTTAAGCCATCTTAGTTGACTGTCTCACCATCAAAACAGCCCCAAGGAAATAGCTGGAAAGACCAGTAAGTTGAAAATGATATAGCGGACGGGGAGGTGGATTACATTAAAAGGGACCGAGAAAACACGTAAATATACAGTATTTTGTAGGAACCCAATTTCTCACTGTCACACACACACACACACACACACACACACACACACACACACACACCACGTACAAATTTGCATGAAGAAAAAGTGACCCTGAACTCTGTGATGTTGAACTAGAACATGACATACTGGTGTGAACTCAGAGTTCCATATGTAAGGATACTTATATAAGTAAATATAGATGTAAATGTTTATATCCAGGGGTGCCTGGTGGGCTCAGTTGGCGGAACGTGCAACTGTTGATCTCGGCATCATGAGTTCGAGCCCCATGTTGGGGGCAGAGTTTACTTAAAAAAATGTGCGTGTATCGGGGCGCCTGGGTGACTCAGTCGGTTGTGTCCGACTTGCGTGCTGACAGCTCAGAGCCTGGAGCCTGCCTTGGATTCTGTGTCTCCCTTCTCTCTCTCTCTCTCAAGAATAAACATGAAGGGGGACGTGGGTGGCTCAGTCCGTTAAGCGTCCGACTTCAGCTCAGGTCCTGATCTCTCGGTCCGTAGTTCGAGTCCCGCGTTGGGTTCTGTGCTGACGGCTCAGAGCCTTGAGCCTGCTTTGGATTCTGTGTCTCCCTCTCTCTCTGCCCCTCTGCTGCTCTGTCTCAGAAAATAAACACTTAAAAAAATTTTTATGTGTGTATATATATATGTGAGTACATGCGTTTACGTGTGTGTATGCATGTATATGCATTTGTATGTATATACACAGCTATTTGCTGAGAGGTTCTGGAAGCACCTTGATACGGCTGAGTATACCTAGCACCCACATCTTTTTTGTTTTTTTTTTTCATTTAATGTGTATTTATTTACTTTTGATGGAGAGAGCACAAGTGGGGGAAGGAGAGAGAGAGAGAGACCGAATCCGAAGTAGGCTCCAGGCTCTGAGATGTCACTGCAGAGCCTGACATGGGGCTCGAACTCACAAACGGAGAGATCATGATCTGAGCTGAAGTCAGACAGTTAACCAGCTGAGCCACCCAGAAGCCCCACCTAGCACCCACATCGTAGACTCTAAGCACCATTCGCTAAAAAGAACCAGGTCCCCTCGGAGAAATGGGTGACTCTATGCACTATGTATTTCACCAAATATAAGCCACCTTCAATCGCCAAACACGCTGTTACACCACCAAGAAAGAAAAACTCCTATCAATTAACCTCTGCCAGGCTACTGATTGGAAACCACATGCCCAATTTCAGAGATGCTAAAGTGTGAGAAATAAATGTGTCTTAGATTCGATAAAATAACAGTATTTGCAGACAGGAGATACACACACACACACACACACACACACACACACACACACACAGTAACTACAGTTCCTAGTTTCTGAGGACGGAACCTCATTTGTGTTCTTTTTTTTTTTTTTTAAGTTTACTTATTTATTTTGATAGAGAGAGAGAGAGTGAGAGCAGGACAGTGGTAGAGAGAGAGGGAGAGAGAGAATCCCAAACAGCCTCTGCCCTGTCAGTGTAGAGCCGGATGCGGGGCCTGAACTCACGAACCACGAGATCCTGACCTGAGCCGAAGCTGGATGCTTAACCAACTGAGCCCCCCAGGCACCCCTCATTTTGTGTTCTCGTTTTCCACTCATGTTGACCCTTCCCTGCAGGGCCCCTTCCCTGATTTTCCTAACAAGAAAACCTTTGGGTGGCCTACGAAGCCAGGCATGGTCTCCCCACACCTCCGTGATGCCCCCAGCCCCAACAGCCTGCTTTCCATCCCTTGTACCTTTCATGCCTCAACCTCCCACCGGGCTTTTGCACAAGCTCATCCCATCTCAGTCACCACCTCCTCCAGGGAGGCTTCGCTGACTTCACCTTAGGTGATACTTACTTCCCCTACAAATTCAACTGGCCATTTATCGTGAGTGGTCAGTCGAGTGTCTGGGCTCCCCATTAGATTGTGAGAATAGGGGTTGGCTGCGCTTTTCTCTCTCCAGTATCCCCAATACCCTGCACTTAGTAGGTGCTCAATAAAATTTAAGTCCCACTGAAGAATGAATTTTCCTAACAGAGCACTGAGCCTGGGAGGGAAAGGAATTTGCTCAAGGTCACACAGCCAGTCGGAGGCGAGCCTGGGACCACACGTGGCTCCAACCAGGTTCAGTGGCCTCGCCTTTACCCAATGCCAGCGCTGCCCCCGCCCTGTCCCCAGGCCGGTCACTCACCCTCTTCTCATGGTTGGGGATGATACAGCGGACGAAGCTGGGGTTGGTGTTGCTGAGTGTAGCCATGAGGCGGCTCAGGGACTCCTTGTAGAGCTGTCCCACTGTTCGGAACATGCCCCGGCGGGGGCGGCCGCCGGGTGGGCCATCCCCAAGGCTGCTCACCTGCTCCAGCCCCACGATGCCCTCCACTACGGGGAGAGGAAACAGATGTAGAGAAAGAAGCGGGTCAGGGGTCAGTTTTAGGTGCACTGTTTTAAGTCAAAGTTCAAGGGTCTTGTCATTTATAGGACCTGGCAGTGTACATATGAAACACCGGTAAGGTAGGTATTTGCAGCCCCATTGGACTGATGTGTAAACTCAGAAAGGTGGAAGTCAGGTCATACAGCTGAGAAAGCGCAGATCTAGGATTCGAACCCAGGCAGCGAGAGTCCACTGGAAACCTGGCCTCTGACCACTCTTCTTCTCGAGGAACGATCTCCACTGTTCCTTATCAAAAAGCGGTCATGACAACGGCATATGCTTACTTGGCACGTCCTCTCTGCCAGGCCCACTCGAAGCGCTTTATATATGCCTTCTCGTTTATAAGCCTGTAAGAATCGTTCCCATTTTACAGGCGAGGAAACCGAGGCACAGAGAGGGAAACAGCGCACTCAGCATGGGCGCAGTTTTAGGAACTTAACACGATGTCCCACTGAGGACGTAATAAAGCCCGGCTTTTCTGTGCGATATTTAAAAGCACACAGACACTCTCCGCATGAACCATTTTTCCAAAAAGGCCTGATTTCATGGTGACTCTTCTCTCTTTTGTCATTTGGTGGCGTCACTTCAGCTAGTGAGAAATCCCCACTCCTTCATCTCGAATTCTGTGGGGTTTTTTAATGTTTATTTTTATTTTTATTTTTGAGAGAGAGAGAGAGTGAGTGGGGCATGGACAGAGAGAGAGGGAGACCCGGAATCCGAAGCAGGCGCCAGGCTCCGAGCTGTCAGCACAGAGCCCAACGCGGGGCCTGAACCCAGGGACCGCGAGATCATGGCCTGAGCCAAAGTCGGATGCTTAGCCGACTGAGTCACCCACGTGCCCCTCGAATTCTGTTTGAAGTCACGCCTCCTTTCTCAGGGACCTGCGGCGGGGGCAGACTCTGATGTCCTGTAGTCCTCAGCAATGAGGGTCATCAGGGGTCAACCAGATAATCTTCACTTAGGGCAGGGCTTGGTGCACAAGTGGGGGCTCACCTATGGCCTTTTCCTCCCCAGGTTCAACGTTCCCTCTCACCGCCATGCTCCCAACTGTTATCAAAATGGTAATTAAGTTCTTACAGCACAGATAAGAGCAGAGGCCCTGGGATGTCTTGGGTTCAAATCCCAGCTCTGTCCTTTACTGTCTGTGTGACCTCAGGCAGGTGTCTTAACCTCTCTGTGCTTTCTCATCTGTATGATGGGGATAATAGCACTAACACCTGCCTCGTTGGGTTGTTCGGAGGATCCTTTTTTTTTTTTTTTTAAGTTTATTTATTAACTTTCAGGGAGACAGACAGTGTGAGTGGGGGAGGAGGGAAGGAGGGAGAGAGAGGGAGAGAGAGGGAGAGAGAGGGAGAGGGAGAGAGAGAGAGAGAGAGAGAGAGAGAGAGAGAGAGAGAGAATCCCAAGCAGGGTCCACACTGTCAGCACGGAGCCCGGCATGGAGCTTGAATTCACGAAACCGTGAGACCATGACCTGAGCTGAAATCAAGAGTAGGACGCTTAACCTACTGAGCCACCAGGCGCCCCTGTTCAGAGGGTTCTAGGCGTTAGTAATTGTAAACAGGCTCTGCACAGCACACGGCACGTAGTACATGCTCAGTAAATACCAGCTGGTGTTACCAAGAGGCTTGTACTTTTACATGCGGTTTAATTAGAAGGCGTTGTGTGGCTACAAAGAGTCTGGAAACTGCTGAGGGAGGCAACAAGGAAGGAGAGCGAGAGTCCCCCGCACGGAGGAGAGGGGACAGATGTTCAAAGTCAGGTACCCGGTCCAAAAGGCCCACCCTCTTCATCCGGCAAATCTCACCCGTCGGTGCACAGCAACACCCACCCCCTGACGGAGAAATGGCAGAGCTGCGCCTCCCTGAAGATCCTGGGGGTGACGGTGGGAAGGAGCCAAGGAAAGGGAATTGCTGGAAGCCCCCATGTTCTGGGGGGTGAGGACAGATGGAGGGGGGAGGCAGAGTGATGAGGGGTGGGAGATGCAATGGGAACAGCAAGAGAAGGGAGGAGGGAGAGAAGGTGGCAAGAGAAAAAGAGAGCATTATTAGTCAACAGCACAGGGCAAAGCGGGAGGAAAAACTTGAATGTTGGCCATGAACTTTTAAAGCTAGGGTGACTGTCCTGTTCACCTTTGTGTCTACCCATTGAGGGCATGACGATGACCGGAAGGATGACCATCCTTTGTGGGAATTCAATGCCAAGGAGATAAAAAATCTCTTTCCCTAGAGGTTAAATCTGTATCTGCTTTATTAGGTATCCCTTTTTGCCCTGGCTGCCAGGAAGCTCAAGGACTAACTCAATGCTCCTTCCTAGCTTGTTGCATTGGTCTCTCTGAGGAGAGCTTTCCCCCTGGGCTCCCAGGATGCTGGGCACCCAACTCTGGGCTCAGGACAGCCGTAGTAGAGATTGATGCACGAGGGCCCCAGTTCCCTGTCCCTCCTGTGACTTGCAGCTCCTTGAATCTGGGCTGCTCTGACCTGCTTTGTTCAGGAGAGTTGTGGAGGAAGGAACACTGTACCGGGTTGGAGACAAGGACACAGCTTCCGCTTCTCTCTTGGAATCCCTGGAGAGCCAGGCTCATATAAGATGGGGCATGTGAGGGATCACGGTGGGGGTGGGGGTGGGGCATGATGTGTCCATAAAGGGGACACAGATATTAAAGAAGTGTGTGTGTGGTGGGGATTTTCTGAGGAGATGATTCTCATAGCAGAATCTGGTTCTATTAGTGAACATCAAGCACTACTTTTCAATCCCTCTTGTACAAACCACAGAAGACACAAACCTCAAATTCCTCTGTCTAAAATCACCTCATAACATCAAGGCACCTCACACTCTTCTAGTTCTGTGAGTCCATTTGGGAACCATTCATCTTGCTTATTTTGTTCTCTTGTCTAATTGCGTGGGCTAGCAATTACAACTTTGCTTTTCATTTCAGTAAAAGGCGTCAGCAAATGGACAGACCCTGGACGCCTTGAATCGGGGGGAAAACCCAGGATGCTGGTTTTGTCGGTTGTGAAAATCATGTCTCCTCTAAGGAGGGGAAGTGGCAAACAAGGCTTGGAAAGGTATGGGGTCTCATACTTTTTCTGCCCGTGCCTCCCAGAAGGGTCATTCCAAAAAGACTGAAGACCAAACCCACAGGGGCCTTGTTGGAGCAGGAAAGCTTTGCAAAATCTACATCTCAGTCCGTTGTTCTTCCCTGGGGCCCTGAAGGGAACTTTGTGAGAGTGCAGAAAGCAAAGCCTAAAAGGTGACTAATCTGTAAAACACCACCCTGCTGAGTTTCCTTCATGTGATGAATTAATTTTCAGTCAAATCTGATTTTTTTTTTTCCTTAGGGATCACAGGCCATCTACAATGAATGACTTTCTCTCTTCCTTTACAACATTCATACAGTTATTTCTTTTTCCAGTCTGATTGCATAGGCTAGTATTGCCAAAACCGTGTTTCAGAGCAGTGGCGACCACGGGCATCCTCGTCTGTTTCTGGTTAAGGAGGAGTGTTTTATCACTGAGCATGAGGCTGGCTTGTAGCAGTCAGCCAATCATTCAATCAACGAGTCACCGATTGGAAATGCTACTGTCAGACCGTCTGGCCTGCCTGCCTCACTTCTGTGTCTGAGCAGACAAGTCACGTTCAGAACTTAGCCTCTAGAACAAAGGTGTGCACCCTGTGGGCTGGGAAGAGGGATGCACCGAGCTCCAGGGACAGGGCCTGGGGAAATGACGATCCTCACCATCTTTCCAGATCTCTGCCGTTAGCCGGTCTGTGCTCTGGTGAAGCAGGGTTGCGACGTTGTCGTTCAGAGGGTCCATGTTTTTCATCAGCCACTCATTGGCCTTGTAGTCCACCTGGATGAAGTCAGGCAGAGGAAGGTGGTGAGCCCGCAGGTTCACCAGCTCTCCCATTTTCCCAAGGAACCTCCCAGAAACCCTGGAGACCTCCAGCTCCAGGGCTCTCCACAGATGAGAGAGCGTCAGTGCCACCTAGTGTCTGTGCCCAGAACTGCACCCTCCACCTGCATGGCCCCTCTCCCTTCACTTCCCTCATCTGTTCTCTGTCCCACCTCCAGGACCTCGCCGGCCATCACTTCTTCCTTATCCATTCTATTCCAGCCACCCTAGCCTCCTCACGGCTCCTTAAACGTGCAAGTTCATTTCCACTTCGGCGTTTACCCCTGCCATTCCTGATCACCGCGGATTTTCACACGGCGGGCGCCTTCTGAGTATTCAGGGCTTTGCTTTGAGGCTCTCAGAGTCCCGAGTCTTGACCCACACAACTCCCCACACGTGTGCGCCCCCCAAAGACAGTGGCTCCCCTGAGGCCAGGATTCAGGTCTGACTCACAGCACAGGGCTGGGCACACCGGAGGTCTCAGGCAACGTTTGGGAAAGGAAGTGAGTGCTGGACACAGAACACGTAGGTCTCCTGTCTCCCAGCCTGCGTATGCTGTTCCTTCCCCCCCAGACAGCCCTTCCCAGCCTTCACCTATCCTTTGATGGCTGTTGCTCCTCATTTATTTTTTAATGTTTTGCCCTTTTTTGGAGACAAAAAGAGCACGAGTGGGAGAGGGGCAGAAGGAGAGAGAGAGAGACAGAGAGAGAGAATCTTAATGCTTATTCATTTTTGAGAGAAAGACAGACAGAGCGTGAGTGGGGGAGAGGCAGAGAGAGAGAGGGAGACAGAGAATCCGAAGCAGGCTCCAGGCTCTGAGCTGTCAGCACAGAGCCCGACGCGGGGCTCGAACCCACAAACCGTGAGATCATGACCTGAGCCAAAGTCTGACGCTTAACCGACTGAGCCACCCAGGCTCCCCTTAAATTTTTTGCTTTTATTTTAGAGACCAAAGAACACAAGCAGGAGAGGGGTAGAAGGAGAGGGGGGAAAGAGAGAGAGAGAGAGAAGAGAGAGAGAGAGAGAGAGAGAGAGAGAGAGAGAATCTTAAGCAGGCTCCACACTCAGCACGGAGCCAGACATGGGCCTTGATCTCATGACCCTGGGATCACAACCAGAGCCAAAATCAAGAGTCAGACGCTCAACTGACTGAGCCACCCAGGCACCCCCCGTTTCTCGTCATTTCGGCCAGGGATTGGCAAACCACGGCCCGCAGGCCAAATCCAGGCTGCCGCGTTTTTGTAAATAAGGTTTTGTTGGAATACAGCCTTCC